GAGGAGGACCCTCGCTGGGCCCTGGGGCCGTCGCGGGCGGGCTCGGGAGGAGCCGCCCGTCTCCGCCCGGGTGGGGCCGAGGCTGCCGCGGGCCCCGCCCGGCATCCCGTGTCCGGGACGGCGGCCACCCCCAACACCAGAGATTGACACCAACACCAACACCGAAATTGACACCAACACCAACACCAACACGTGTCGGAGTCCGAGAGATTGACACCAACACCAAGATCGGCGGTGTTCCTCCACCGAGGGAAGACGATCCCGATCTCGGTGATGGTGGTAGTATTCTGGCTTCCTAAGGTGACCGAAATAGTACCACCAACACCGGAATCTGAGATCATCATCTCCCTGAGGAGGCAAACCCCTGTGCTGGTGTTGGTGCCAATTTCCAGGCCTCCAACTGTCGGGGGCGGAAAAGAGGGGGGTGATGACTAGGGGGGGGATATATGGCGGGGCCCTGAGGAAGGAACCTTTTTCGTTGGGGAGGGGCTCCGCGTTCCTCGAGTGTTTCGCAGCTTGCCTCAGGTTTTCCTTGGGTTTTCGATATGAGATCGCAGTTTAACTTATGGAAAATAGGGGCCTCGTTCCTTATTTAGGATTCCTTAGGTCAACGCCCCGACTGTATCATGGCGGGGGCCATGATATTTCCCCAGATTTCAGGGCGCCTCTTCTTATTTCACGACGTTCCCCGCTGGGCCGCGCACAGGCCGCCGGCCAGGATTTGCACCCCCCCCCTCTTGGACACCCCCCTCTTGGCCGCTCCCGACCCTGGCGTTGTGGAAGTCGATCAATGGAGAGGAAGCATGCTGCCAAATAATCTCCAGATGTCTAAAGGAGGTTTCGAACATGTTTTACACATGTTATAAACAGGTTTTAAACATTTGTAGAACTTGTTTTACACATCTTAAGCACATCTGTAACTCAATGGTAGGATTGTTCGAGTGCCCATTGCCATGGCATCCACAAGCCTGGCGTTTCTCAGGATCGCTGGGCTTGCCGGCGCGACTTTTCGGCCGCCACGGCCGGATCCGCCTCGAGAAGTGGCCAGGGGGTGGACGCCGGAAGGCGTCCGGGGGGCCGATCCTGAGCGGGTCTTTTCCCCGCCTCGGGCGTTGAGCTCTTCCTGGCGGCCCGCACACGGGGGTGGGGGGAGCACCCTGCTCCTTAGAGGGCGCCAGCCTTGCATCTATAGGTAAGGCCCGCGCCTTGTAAGAAGCAGGGGTGCTTCTAAGATTACCAGCCTCGAACGCATCCCTATCCCTAAGATTGACGCGCCAAAAGGCGATGACAATCTTAGGGATTCGCCCTCAGCAAATATGGGAATCCCTAAGATTGACATCGTGACGAGGAGATGCCCAGCATAGGGATAGGGATATGTTCCAGGCTGGTAATAAGAGGCCCTCCCCCCCCTCCCCCCACCCCTCTGCGCGTGGCCGATCTTCCCGTTCCTCCAGGCGTCCGGCGCCGCAGCCCCGCGGCCGCGGCCCCGCCGCGTGGGAGGGGCCCCCCGCGCCCAGCTCCCCTCCCTCCGCGGCTGCTCCCTCGCCTTCCTTCCAGGCCTCCTAGGTGGGGTCGGAGTAGATGGGGTCGGAGGATCGCGCCGCATGGCCGATGCATCGGCGATGCGGCTCGATGTGGAGCCCGATTTTATCCACGCCGACGTCGCCGATGCATCGCCGACGTCGCCGATGCATCGCCGATGCATCGGCGATGCATCGGCGATGCGTTGGCGAAGCGGCGCGATCCTTCGACCCCATCTACTCGAACCCCATCTAGGAGGCCTCTACTCCTCCCCCCCCCTCGAGCAAGCGGGTTACGACCCGCTATGCCGTGTCCCGGTCTCGCCCCGAGGCGCGTGCGGATCGGCTGTTCCGCGCTGCGGCGCAAAGAGTGTTCCGCGCGTTCACCACCCACCAAACCACCCCAACCCGACCCGAAGGCTTCAATCTGCCCTCCATTTCCAGTGGGGGGGAGTTCGGGGAACATTGAACAGCACACATGGAACCCGTCACCCCCCCCCCCCAACCAGAAATTTGGGTCAAAGTCGGGTCTTCGGGTTGGGTTGGGGTGGTCTGGAAGGCAGTCACGCGTCGTGGCTCCCCCAGTGTCTGAGCCTACTTCCCCGGTGCAGCGGCGTGTCGTCCCGAGTCGGTTCTTGACGGTGCCGGGGCCCAGCGCGGCCCCCAGGAGGCCCCGAGGCCGAGAGTTGCCCAAAATTTCCGTGGTGATTTTGGGCTCCCTAGCAGGGATTGGAGTAAAGTCAGCCCGCATATCCCACGGTCGCTGAAAGTAGGTAGTTTGGGATTGCCAGGTTCCAATCTACTTTCACCGCCTCCCTACTTCAAGAGTCGAATGGTTATCCCTCTTCTCTCCTCTTCAGGGGGCGAGTCGAGACCAGATCTACTTCCAACGCCTTCCTTCTTCATGTTTCTACCTACTTCTTCCGACCGATGGGTAGTAAGGATGGGCAATTTTCTAAGGGTACCTTGCATCCTTGCCTCCTCGGTCCATTCTTGGCCACTTTCGCTGGCCGCGCCCCGCTCGAAAAGCTTCGAAGTGACCTTCCAAAGCCCTTGCACCCTTACCGCGCATCCTTATGATACGGGCCGACTGTAGATGGGGTCGGAGGATCGCGCTGCATCGCCGATGCATCGCCGATGCGGCTCGATGTGCAGGCCGATTTGCTTGACGTCGACGCCGGCGATTCATCGCCAACGTCGGCGATACATCGCCGGTGCATCGCCGATCCACTGCCGATCTAGAGGAGGAGCAGGAGGAGGAGGAGGAGGAGGAGGAGGAGGAGGAGGAGGGGGAGGAGGAGGAGGAGGAGGAGGAGGAGGAGGAGGAGGAGGAGGAGGAGAGTGATCTGTGTCGCAGCGCGAGGATGTCGGGGTCAGCGTCGCGCGGGCATGGGCGGGGGTGACCGTGGCGTCCTGATACTGCTGGCCAATCCCGTGGGAGGACAGAAAGGTGCAGCAAGCGTTCACAGTGAAGTCGGGCGTGTTCCTCTTCAGGAGGAACATTCAAAAATAGTTAAAAAGATAGTCAGGGAGTGTTGACTATTTTTGAGCATCTCTTGGCAATTTGCTATTTTTCGTCCAAAATCCGCCTGTAGGGGGACATGCCCGAACTAAGTTTTACAGTCATTCCGCACAGTCAGGATGAGCGACTTTCCAAAGTTATACTTGCGTCCTTCTCCTTCTGCCCATCTTTGGCCGCTTGCGCTGGCCGCGCCCCGCTCGCAAGGTGTCGACATGGTTTTCCATGGCCCTTGCATTCTTATTGTGCGTCCTTATCATACGGGTTGACTGTAGGAGACACTTCCCATGACCCCCCTCGGCCCCCTTGCCTCAGCCCAACATCTCGAACGCAATACTTGCCAATGCTTGTTCTGGTTCGGGCGTCGTTGTTGCACAGTTCTCATTCAACTGGCAGTAGAGCATAGAAGACACAACATCGTAGCAGTAGAGGAAGGTCGGCGGCGGTCGCGGGGCGAGCAGCGGCGCGAATTGCAGGCGGGCCGCAAGGGGGCGACGTCTGGGCAGTCTTCCTCTTCATCCTGATCTTCCTCCTTGTTCCCCCTCCTGTCTCCTGATTCTTGTCCTCCTCTCGGTCCTCCAGTCTGGTCAGGATTCGGCAAATTTGGATCGACTTGGGTCGTGGCGTCAGGCTCAAAACCCGCGCAGCCGCAGCGTTCAATTTTCCAACGTACATTACCTGCGCCTTCCATAGCTGCAACCGCAATCCGCCGCGCGCGCAGCGGAGCTCCTGGCCCTCTGCACCCCCAACTCTGCCGCGTCCGCCCAGGGGCAACGCTCAGGGGGAGAGGCTCAGAGGGGAATGCGTCGGCCCCCGATCGCTCATTGATCGCCGACGCAGGGGTCCGAACGCCCACACCGCCCCAGGAGCGTGCGGATTTCCTCTCGAGGGCATGTTGCCGATCTGTCTGCCCTGTACCGCCAGTTCCAGCTTGGTGTTTCACCCCCTGAGCCAGTCACCCAGTGGATTCCTGGCCATAGCTCGGGCCTCCGGCGGCCGTTCGGGATCGTCCGGGGCCCCCCTGGAGGCCATCCCGAGGCTGGCACGCCTTGGGCAGCCGACGGAAGCATCCGAGAACCTCAAGCCTCGAACCTCGAGCCTCAGCGATGCCCCCCCAACGTTGCCCCTCGCCTTTGTCCAGGGCCGCCGGTGTCGCTGGCGGCCTGGCACGCAGCATGCCCCGCTCCCTGCTGCTGGTGCTGGCCCTGCTGGGCCTCGCTGAAGAGTGCCGCGGCGTGGCCATCCACCTGGAGGCCAGCATCGTCTCAGCGCTCCCCGTCCCCACTGGGCCATGGTATCGAGGAGGAGGAGGAGGAGGAGGAGGAGGAGGCGGAGGAGGCAGAGGGGGAGGAGGAGGAGCAGGAGGAGGAGGAGGAGGAGGCGAGGAGAAGGAGGAGGAGGAGGCGGAGGAGGAGGAGGAGCAGGAGGAGGAGGAGGAGGAGGAGGTACTCTCGCATTCTCTCTCTCTATATATATATGTCTATCGAAGACGCTTACGGCGAATCACCGCCGCCCCCCGCCTTTTTGGCATCGCCCGTGTGGCCGAGCGTTGTGGCAAGAGCTCTGCCAAGCTATCGGGCCATGTGTTCCCCGACTGGGCCACAGTATTGAAGAGGCCTAATTGCGGCGAGTCACCGCCGCCCCCTGCCTTCTAGAACCACCCGTGTGGCCGAGCGTTGAGGCAAGAGCTCTACCAAGCTATCGGGCCATGTGTTCACCCACTGGGCCATGGTATTGAAGACGCCTAATTTCGGCGAGTCACCGCCGCCCCCTGCCTTTTTGGCATCGCCCGTGTGGCCGAGCGTTGTGGCAAGAGCTCTGCCAAGCTATCGGGCCATGTGTTCCCCACTGGGCCATGGTATCGAAGACGCCTACGGCGAGTCACCGCCGCCCCCTGCCTTCTAGAATCGCCCATGTTGCCGAGTGTTGTGGCAAGAGCTCTGCCAAGCTATCGGGCCATGTGTTCTGCCGACCGTTGTGGAAAACCCTTCGGGGAATGCTTTGGGGAGGATGGCGGGGACGATCAGGAGGAGGCGGAGGAGGAGGTGGAGGAGGAGGAGGAGGAGGAACAGGAGGAGGAGGAGGAGGAGGAGGAGGAGAAGGCGGCATCCTGGAGGCCTCCAGGGACACTCTCGGGCTCCTAGGAGCTTCCTGGGAGCATCTTGCAGGCATCTTGGGGGCCTCCTTGGGCCTCTTGGGGGCCTTTGGGGGCTTCTCGGGGGCCTCTTTGGTGTTCTTGGTGGGCTCCTGGCCCGTCTGACGCCGTCGGAAGCAGTCTTTGGGGCCTCTCTGGGCCGACTTGGGGCCTTCTTGGGGTGCTCCAGGGCCGTTTTGGGGGCCATCTTGGGCGTCTTGGGGCCTCTTGGGCCGTCCTGGGGCCATCTTGGAGGCCTCTGGGGCGCTCTGGGGGCGATCTTGGGCGCCTCGTTGGCCGTCTTGGGCCGTCGGAAGGCTGAAAGTGAGCAACTACGAACATCCTGCAAAAACCTCTTGGACAATCAAACTTTGGCCTCTTCGAACCCTCCTGGACGACCTTTCGGAGTCCTCTTGGGCTGTCTTGGAGGCCTCTTGGGCTGTCTTGGAGGCTTCTTGAGCCGATTTGGAGTCATCTTGGACCCTCCTGGGCCGTCGTGGAGGCCATCTTGGACCATCTTGGGCGAACTTGGAGGCCATCTCGGGCCGACTGAGCCGTCTTGGAGGCCGTCTAGGGCCATCTTGGAGCGGGAAAGGCATTGACCCGAAGATTTCTCTGTGGACGTTGAGGTCGTTTCCGGGCTTTGTGCGGCCTCGTGCGCTCTTCGGGTGGCCGGCGGGCTGGGCCGGAGCCCCAGGGGAGAGTTCCTTTGGTTTGGGGACTCTTGGGAGCTTCTTGGGGGATTCCTGGGAGCCTCTTGGGGCCTCTTGGGAGCCTCTTGGGGGCCCCTTGGGGCCTCTTGGACGCCTCTTGGCGCCTCCCGGGGGCGTTTTCGGCAGCAAGGCTTTGATTTTCGGTTTGTGTTTCCTCTCTGGGCTCCTTTTGGGGCCGTTTCGGGACCCTCTTGGGCCGTCCTGGGCGCCTCTTGGGGCGCCTTCTTGCGGGCTTCTGGGGCCGTCTTGAGGCGATCTTGGGGGGCTCGTGGGCCGTCTTGGAGCGCCGGAAACCCGAAAAGGACAGAATGCAAAACAAATGCAAAAGCTAAGAATTATTTTGTTGTGCCTCTTGGGGCCGTCTTGGGACGCCTCCTGGAACACTCTTGGCACGTTTTCGGGGCCTCTTGGGACGCGTGAAGAGCGCGTTCTGTAAGCGCTTCGAGGGGGGGTCGGAACCGCCCCCCCCTTCTGGATTCGAGGTTTGCAGCTCCTCAGAAGTTTTTCCCAACCATCCTGTGGTGTAGGGTCCTCGTTTTGAAGAGACGTCGCCCCGCGTTCCTCCTCTTTTCTCCTCCTCCCCCTCCTCCCCCCCTCCTCCCTGCGTTTCACCCACCCAGTACGACGTTTCGTGGCCCCATAGGGAGCTCCACCGAAGGTGCCAGTGGCAGGGTTTGCACGGCGGCCTCGGGGCATTTCGGCACACCCCTCACAAGGATCGTGGCCCCATAGGGAGCTCCACCGAAGGCCAAAGTGGCAGCGTTCGCATGGCGGCCTCGGGCCATTTCGGCACACCCCTCACGAGGATCGTGGCCCCATAGGGAGCTCCACCGAAGGCCCCAGTGGCAGCGTTCGCATGGCGGCCTCGGGCCATTTCGGCACACCCTCACGAGGATCGTGGCCCCATAGGAGCTCCACCGAAGGCCCCAGTGGCAGCGTTCGCATGGCGGCCTCGGGCGATTTCGGCACACCCCTCACGAGGATCGTGGCCCCATAGGGAGCTCCACCGAAAGCCCCAGTGGCAGCGTTCGCATGGCGGCCTCGGGCCATTTCGGCACACCCCTCACGAGGATCGTGGCCCCATAGGGAGCTCCACCGAAGGCCCCAGTGGCAGCGTTCGCATGGCGGCCTTGGGCGATTTCGGCACACCCCTCACGAGGATCGTGGCCCCGTAGGGAGCTCCACCGAAGGCGCCAGTGGCAGGGTTCGCATGGCGGCCTCGGGCCATGTCGGCACACCCCTCACAGGGATCGAAGCGGCAGGGTTTGCACGGCGGCCTCGGGCCATTTCGGCACACCCCTCACGAGGATCGTGGCCCCATAGGAGCTCCAGCGAAGGCCCCAGTGGCAGCGTTCGCATGGCGGCCTCGGGCAATGTCGGCACACCCCTCACGAGGATCGTGGCCCCGTAGGGAGCTCCACCGAAGGCCCCCAGTGGCAGGGTTCGCATGGCGGCCTCGGGCCATGTCGGCACGCCCCTCACGAGGATCGTGGCCCTATAAGGAGCTCCACCGAAGACCCCCAGTGCCAGCGTTCGCATGGCGGCCTCGGGGCATTTCGGCACACCCCTCACGAGAATCGTGGCCCCATAGGGAGCTCCACCGAAGGCCCCAGTGGCAGCGTTCGCATGGCGGCCTCGGGCCATTTCGGCACACCCCTCACGAGTATCGTGGCCCCATAGGGAGCTCCACCGAAGGCCCCAGTGGCAGTGTTCGCATGGCGGCCTCGGGCGATTTCGGCACACCCCTCACGAGGATCGTGGCCCCATAGGGAGCTCCGCCGAAGGTCCAGTGGCAGGGTTTGCACGGCGGCCTCGGGCCATTTCGGCTCACGAGGATCGTTGCCCCATAGGGAGCTCCAGCGAAGGCCCCAGTGGCAGCGTTCGCATGGCGGCCTCGGGCCATGTCGGCACACCCCTTGCGAGGATCGCGGCCCCATAGGGAGCTCCACCGCAGGCCCCAGTTGCAGGGTTCGCATGGCGGCCTCGGGCCATTTCGGCACACCCCTCACGAGGATCGTGGCCCCATAGGGAGCTCCGCCGAAGGCCCCAGTGGCAGGGTTTGCATGGCGGCCTCGGGCCATTTCGGCACACCCCTCACGAGGATCGTGGCCCCATAAGGAGCTCCAGCGAAGGCGCCAGTGGCAAGGTTCGCATGGCGGCCTCGGGGCATTTCGGCACACCCCTCACGAGGATCGTGGCCCCATAGGAGCTCCAGCGAAGGCGCCAGTGGCAGCGTTCGCATGGCGGCCCCGGGCCATTGCGGCACACCCCTCACGAGGATTGTGGCCCCATAGACGTGTTGCTTTAACAACCGCGCCTGGGCGTCGTACTCCGCCGTGTCGACGTGCAACGCCACCTCCTCCTTCATGGCTCTCAAAGTCCTCTTCTGCTTTTGCTCCTCGGTCGGAGGGACGCCATCCGTGTCGTCGTCGGCGCCCGCGAAGACGGCCACGAACGTGTTCCTGAGCATGTCGGGTTCCGGCGGGGAGCTGTGACCACATAGGGAGCGCGGGCAAAGATGGTATTCACAAATGCGGTATTCACAACTGCATATGGTTGGGTCCTTCGCCAGGTTAATTTTTGAAGCTCCCTAGACGCCCCTAGGAGGCTTCTTAGAATCTATTTATAGGTTCCGTAGAAGCTCCTTAGAGTTTTTTTTTGCGGAATGTCTGAGAGTCGCTGTCTGATCTCCTTGGAGCTCCTTAGAAGCTTTTTAGAGGCTCCCCAGAAGTTCCTCACAGGCTCCTTAGCAGCTCCTTAAAGGCTCCGTCGAGGCTCCGTCGAAGTTCTTTTGGGGCTCCTCAGAAGTTCATCGCAGGCTCCTTAGCAGCTCCTTAGCAGCTCCTTTGAAGCTCGTTGGAGGCTCCTCAGAATCTTCTTGGAAGCTCCTCCGAGGCTCACCAGAGGAACGTCAAGTATTTCTGGACGATGTATGGGGGATGTTTTGGGGATTGCTGGAGGATGCGGCACCTGTGCCGCTGGGTGCCTTTGTGGCGTCCCAGGAAAACAGGCGGGTTGGCAGCCCGATCGTCTCCACAGCTCGACGGGGCTGTGGGAGAGACTCTTGCCCTGTGGTTGGCCAGCCACAGTAGGTGCGGGCCCGCCGTACCACCCGTGAGAGGCCCGATGGGGTTATTCGAAGGGGTCGCCCGACGTGGGGGGCGCGGGAACTTAAGCGGGGCCTCCGCTGCTTGAGGCCGGCGGCCAAGTGGGGGTGGTGCCGGTGGCCGTGTCTCGGGGTGGCATCTCGAGGCACATCGCAACGGCGGCGCGGATAACGCCGGGGGCGGTCCGTGCCGCCGTTCGTGTTGCGAGGTCCGACTGCATGTGAATTCATGCAGGCACCTTGGGCACCTCCCTTCGGGTTGTGTCGCCCAGGTGTTCTGTCCGGGCACAAAAAAGATTG